TAGCACAAGAGTGTTGTCCATATTGATCTATTTGCTGTTTGAATTATAGAGATCTACAGTATTTGTGTTGGCATAGTGTTTGTAAAAAGATTTAAAAATACCAGGGTGGTGGAAAATCTAGATCTTTGTATTTTTGTTTTGGCATGCATTTATTCACTATCTTCTAAACAGTAGTTTATTTTTGCTGTTAATCTATCATAGTATGCTATTTCTAAATTTATTTACTTTATTTTAAAGAGTATTGTCTTATCACTTCAAGTTGTCTTGACTTTCACACAATATATATATTCAGGACTTTAAAAAATAGCAGTACATGTTTAACAGAAGCAAGCAATCTATGCCAAAATATTTTACTTTGAGATCTGAATAACTTGCAGAGTGGTAAAATGTGTTTCGTGTAAGATACAAGTAGAAAAATGACCCAGTATCTTAACTGATACTTATTGGAGAGACCCTGTAGCGCTTACAGAATGCCATAAATTCTTTAAGACTAAATATTTTAACCAGTTATTTGAAGTAATGTTTCTGATTTACTGTTGAAAGTTGCAGAACTCACAGTTTAGTTATAGACATTGCTGCCTAATTCCTTATGGGAGCAAGGCCTTCTTTGGCTCGGCCTACTATGACTATCCTAGGTTGTGCTTTAGTTTTTAAGTAGCTCTTATGAATGTCTGTTCAGCAGTGTTTTTATATCAGATATATTATCATGCATTTTTCTCTTCTGTTCCCACTAAATATTTTTAGACACAAAAAAAGACAAACTCAGAAGTACACATCTTTTCCCCTAGTGAGTCACTTAAAAACCTAAGTTTGCCAGACCATCACCTATCTCTTAGAAAACCTAATGTGTACTGCTATTTTTAAAACCAAAAAGAGACAGCATGACTATGCATCGAGCATTTTTCTTAGCCTTTCCTTTGTCTTGATCTGTTGTTAACAAGAACAAAACTGCCAGACTTAAAATATTCTACTATTGTGCTGAAAGAAATAACTACTTCGATTGCACAATATTTAAAAATATAACTCAGCTGTCTTTTAAAAGAGCTGTATTGTTATCTGCAAGACTATTTGCAGTCTTTTTTCAGAGCAAATTCTAACAGCTAGTTGTAAATGGTTTAAAAAATAGAAAATTATTAAAATCTTAGTTTTGGGAGTTTTATAGAGGGAGGAAAAACAGGACCAAAGTTTATGTGCCTTCTTCAGTAGTCTTAATCTTTTCTTCCTATTTGAGACTAAGGTAGTATCAGTATTCTGGTTTTCAGGAAATATGTAGTATATAGTTTTTAAAGAATGTTGTCCCACAAACTATATAAGCAAAGAATCTTAAACTGTATAAATGAAGTCTCAGTTACACTTCTGCCTTTATCACATAATATTCATTATCGAGCATTGTGCAGGTCTAAGAGCAGAGCTGCTCTCAATCTTTGTGGTAGTTACCTTAGTTTTTATTAACCTGAGGCATATGTTCCAGAGAACAGGGATAGTTGTCTGATCTAGTAACCTTTGTGATAATAGTCATGATTGAAAGCTGCTTGTGGCAAGCTTAAATCCACATCATCAACAGTTTTTTTTTTTTTCATTATTATTTTCAGTTCTTGGATCTATGTGTAGTTGTAATGATAGATACTTAAATAGCTATTTTTTGATGCTGTTTTAAAAGAATCATACTCTGGCCTTTTTCCCCCTTATCATTGTTACCCAGCTCTTTTAAAAATTCATCCAGTATCCAGAAAGTACTAATTATAAAGATTGCTGACCACACAAAGTTTTGCATTAAAATGTCACCTCATTGCTCTGACCAAAGACTGACTGTTCTAGTTTTAACTCTTCTCTGTGAAGCATATTCCCCAAGCTCCTTTCTGACAGAAGACCCGTGCTGAGCACCTTTACTTTCTATATCCTATTGGTGAATAGACTACTAGAGAAAATGGGAGTTTAAATGTGAACAGAATGGATTAGGATGACAGTGGTTTGATGGGCATTTTCAGTACTGTATTTAAGAAAAAAAAAATAGCACAGCTAGGAGCCTCTGACATTGTCTTGTTTTTTATGTGGTCTGTTCATAAAATTCCTTTTTTCAGTTTGTAAGAATGTTCATCTAACAGAAGAAAATGCTGTAAATATTTCTAGCAACATTCTTTTTAACCAGACCAAAAAAGAAAAAGAGGTTTTGGGGAACAAGTTAACATATAAAGTGGTTTTATATAAAACAGCAATTGTCTTGTATATTTTGATAAGGAACAGTACCAGCTTTTATTTGTAACAGAGTTTGTGGCATTGGAAGAAAAGGATTCTGTGATTTTTTGAAGTGAATTATGTTATAAATGCAAAGAGAAGATAAAATATTAAAAAACATTTTCTAAATGCGTAGTGCATGGTTAATTCAAGCTTGTGTACACTACAGTATATTCCATTTTTGTTCAGTTTGTAAATTTGCTATTAATATCTCTAATCTCTTTTCCTATCAAGTATAGCATTGTAGCATGCCTTTTAATAAATGTCATGACATCTGTACTCTCTTAAAATTTCTCTGTGTTCTTGTCTGTACTTTGGGTTTCCCCTTGTCTTATCTGTAATTCTAATGATGTCATATTTTATTTTCTTTTTCATAGCCATCCATCTAAACATGTCATAGTTAAATAATGGCAAGCGTGTATTCAGACAGCTTTGAAAAGAAAATGACCTCAATCCACTACTACCTGTCTTTTAACTTAGGAATATTTCTCATTTTGAACAGCAGAGTGCCTTTCTAATTTTCCTGTAATGTGCCTTCTGTGGCATCCCCCTTGAATGCAAGTACATGTAGCATGCTTGCTGACGTGCGCCTTTTCTCTCTCCCTCTCCTCCCATGAGTACAAAGCCAAACAAGAGTTGGAGCACTTTTTCCCAGTTTAGTTCAGTATGTGGCTTTCCAGTGGGTTTAGTATACATAAATTTTGAGACATGAGATGTGATCGAAACCAAGTTCATGTCCTTTTTAATTAAAGAGTAACACACAGTTCCAGCTAATTATTACTTGCCTTGGACTGATGTTTTACTTCGTAGTTCTTTAAAAAATTGCTGGATTTCGGGAATCTAAATAGTCATATTTATGTTAATCTCTCGAAAGTGGGGATTTATTTATTTTTGTTTTGTTTTTGAGACAGAGTCTTACTTTGTCACCCTCAGTAGAGCGCTATGG